ATTCTGAATTCAGCTTGCCAATTTAATTCTGAATTCAGCTTGCCAATTTGGTAGAGAACTTTTTTTATTACTTTTATTCCGAACTAGTATTAATTAAATATTAATTATTAATTACTAGTACTAGTCGCATTATACAATATTATATTTATATGACTTGACCAATTTTTTTTATAGAAAAGAATAAGTTAGTGACATAATTTCGAAGTGTGTTTTCAAATTATTCATCATAAATGCATATGCTATATTAAATTTGGCCCTGTCACTAATTAATTAATTAATTAGCTATTACCATTCTCATATGAATTGAATTGGTTTCTAATCCCGATGTAGTGTTTTATCACTTAAATAAAGTTAATATTTATGTGATAACGTCTAATTATGACTTTTGATTATGAGGTAGTATAATTTAAAAGAGTGGATAAAGCTCTGACAGCTTTTATAAGTTTAAATGTAATATCGAATGGCTTATTCGACAAAAATAATGCTTCTACTTTAAATTTCAGATAATTAGAGCAATTATTAACGTGATGGAATTTACAAAATTTGCTCTCAACTTTTATCTTTATTGTTTAGTCAATCCAGACATTCGCAAGGTATGTTCCCATATGATTCGTTGCAAGCCTATCAAAAAGCCTGCGCGGGTTTCAGGTTTGTTTTTTATTTCTACAAAAGTTTATCAAAACAAAATTTTTCAAAATTAGATCTCATAATGATTTTAATAAAATGCAAAATGCAATAAAGTTATAATAAAAAATTTATACCAAAAATTGGCATTATCAAATTAATTTAGAGTTGAAATATTCAAACGGTCATTGGTCAAAAAAATATTAAAAATCATGAAATGAATCTTATATTTAACAAGGAAATTTTAAATTGCATATTCAAAAAACTAAAAATAATAGTTAAATCAAATTGTATGGCTTAAATTTTGAGATTGACTTCTCAGGATAAAGCTTCTTAATTTTTTTAGTATTTGAATTTTTATTGTTGGAAAACTGATAAACCTTATCGTTACCAAAATATTTGCTTTTAATTTTTGTATATTTGACATTAAAAGTTTATCAGGTCAACCAATAAATCCGATATCACAATGTACAAAATCTACAAGATTCATCACACGATCGGATAACAAACGACCGAATAGATCAAAAAATTTACCAAGGTACTTCTGTAGTGACTTGCTGATCTCGTATTTGAAAAAACTACTTCGTATTTTGAATAACATAAATGATAACACAAAATGATTAGTTCTTTCAAATTTATTCAAAAGATTATTTAGAAAGTATACAAACAAAACTCACATTCAAATTTAATGTTTAATCGTATTTCATTCTAAGTTTGATCAATTGTAATTCAACTAAGCAAAAGAATTGAATTATTAAAATTTATTATTCCACTACTGAAATTTTAGACATAATATACTATTTTGTATGCAACACATCTGAATTTGCTACATAACTGAAATCGCTTGAGTAATTTAGTAATGTGTAATACCAAGAAGATATTTTTGGTATTTTTTTATTTCAGTAATTTTTTTAATTTTGATTATTCAATATAATTTTATATTACATATATTATACAAAAATTTATTGATTTTTAGAAATTCGATAATGCCTGATTCCACAGATGTTACAATTACCGACACAGATCAAATGATTTCAATTCCAGAAAGCAATGAAGCAAAAAAAGAATTGGTAATTGAAAGCAATTCTGTAGATGGAAATACTACTAATGCTTTGTATATTGTTATCAATGATAAAGCTATTATCGCTGATAATTTCAAAGAAATACGATTGTTTATTAGTGATCACAGTAGCTTAGTATAACAATTATTCATTAATTGTTTTAATTTTGTATTTTTAATAAGGTTACAATAAAGCACCATTGTAAAATTTTATATCAGTTTAGAAATGAAAATATGCTCATATTCAAAATTTTTGTACTGATCTGATCTATTTGCTGCCATGATTTGATCATCAGTTCTTCTAATCAAATAATAATAATAATTTTACAATGTCATAATAATAATAATCATTATTACAATGCACTAATTTGCAAACTTTAATTACTAATAACTTAACTTTAATTCTTATCGCAATTAACTTCAATTTTTATCATATTTTAAAAATTACAATGAAAACAGTATTAAATGTGATAGATAAATGAATATTACTGTATATGAGTGTATTAACTGTCATGTTGTTTCATTTGCATGTGCAAAAAATTCAAAACATATCATATTTTTAAACTAAAACAAATAGCAAATAAAAGTAAATATTTCTACAACGTGAAGTAATGACATTACTAGACGTAATATATCTTCACGAACTTCAAAATCAAAAATAACTTTGAGGTCAAGGGGAATCAGAGAACTGCTCCTTTAGTGTGAACTTAATACTTTTGATATAAATACAAATATCAGCATTCGTGATTCAAATTTCAACCATATCCGTTTTTCATTCTGTAGTAAGTATTTTTGAGATTTTTTGAATATATTCAAATATTATGTAAATGTAATATATTAATGCATTATTGCAGAACTTGTATTACCTAAAATTTTGACTATTTATTGCTCATAATATCTTTAAATATGCATAAAATTTCAAATGATCTGCCTTTTCATGAAATCTCTCTGAAAAATAATAAGTCATGAAGGAACAATTAATAAAACTGATTGAAAATGCACTGCACAAAAATATTTCGTCTTATACAAATTTGTACAGTAAATAAAAACACTGATGGATAGAAGCTTTTCATCCAGTCACTGAACAGTAATACTTAACCAAACATTGAAATCTTCTGAATTCAGGAAAGTTGCTGCTTTCATCCAGCTTTTATTCATTTATAACTTTCGTTGTTTCATCAAGTAATTAAATTACTGTCAATTTTATTATCCATTTAATTATTGAAAATACAGTAATGAATTGATATCAAAAATTCAGCAATCATAATATCTTGCCATAACAAATTGAATTTTTAGTTTTAAGCTTTAAAATTTTCTATACAGTACTCAATTACATTTAAGAATGTAAGCAGCTGTACGCATAAATCGTTTCTTCACAGAAGACCAGGAACCGAATACATTTTCCAACTTTTTTACTAATATTTCAGTAGGATCCGCATCGATAATTTCTACTACTTCATTAGTAGAAGTTTTATCTAATGCACTAATCCGTTTGCTGTATGTTACCATAAGATCCAGCAGTGCACCATTTGTCCAACCGTAACCATGCTAATTACATTATCGTAATTAATTATAAGATTTCTTTTACAATCGTACCATATTAATTAGTTATATTGACTTCGCTTTTTTTTGCCATGTGTGCATTACAAATGCACACTCATATTAAAAACTTAAAAATAAAAAAGAGAAAAGTCCTACAAGTATTGTAATAACTTAACAACTACAAATACAAACCTGATTATCGTAATCACCACCTTTAACAGCTCGAATGTAATCCTTAGCTACATCATATCTCTGCCATAATTTGTGATCACTTAGAAATACTCGATAATTTCGATTCACCCATTTATTTGCTAATTCAAAAGCTTTTTGTTGCATACTGAAATTCATCACATTTCCCGCTTTACGACAATAAAATTCACAAATTTTAAATATTCAAAATTAAAGTGTTTGTCTCTTTCAGTATTAAAACTATTTAATCATGCTTAATGTTACCTAATCCATCGATAACTTTCAAATTAATGCCATTAAGTTTTGGTAATTTTTGTTTAGACGCTCAAATTAAAGTAAAAACCTTACTATTTGTTGAAACTTTTAAATTTTAGATTAGTCTACAATCTTTTCGTTTTATTTGGTTCTCTCGTTGGTTCTTTCATTTTTACTCTTGGTTCTGGTTTTCCTGGTATTAAATTTTATCATATCAGTCAGATACAAAATTTCCATAACATATTTTCAAAATTTATCAAATAACAAATTGCGTCTAATTATACATACATAGGATGATTGGATTTTCTTAAGCCTTCAATAACCATATGATTAATGGGAGCAAAACCGTTTGGATAATCCCATTGCTGATTTGAGCTGCGAATCAAACTGTAATAATAATGAATACTTTTAATTCATATTTATTTGATTTAAAATTTCAAAAAATGATAATTTTATAAAATTAAAGGCATAGAGAAAGCATCACCTTGCAGGTATACCACCCGGAAACTGTAGCAATCCTTTACGTCTTAATGTTTCTAACACTTCGACTAACATTGGATTGTTTAGACTACTGTAACATTCTGCAAAAAGCGGAACAGCCATAGATGGATATGAATCGTCCACTCGTTGTCCAGTATGCAAATTAAAATCAAACCAGGAACCTTCTCGATGATCAAAAAAAACTGCTTCAAATGTATCAACAAATTTTGCACGTTCAAGGTTGATTTCATGACGACGACTTGAATTACCTCAAGTAAATTTAAAGATAAGCTGAACATTTTTCTGTCATAATATTTGTCATATACTAAGTTTTGCTACATAATAGCCATATTTACAGTTCAGCTTCGAAGTTTAATGTTATTTTTTTTTGAACTTACAAAAGTAATTAGTTGAATAATAAATAAACGAAAAATTGGAAATAAATTGAATTTGAAATGATTTTTCATTTTCATTTTTTCAAATATTTAAATTGATTTATTTTAAAGGATTTATTTTTAAAGCAGAAACAAACTATTTTTTAAATATTTACCAATTTCTCCATGTAAATGAGCCAAAATTTCCATATTCCAGCACATTAACGCGTTTAAATCAACAGGTACAATATTTGATGTTTCAATAGTATCCATTGTTTTGCTATTGCCAAGCCATCTACTACTAAAATCCCATCCGGATTCAGAAGCACTGTTAATATCCCGCCAAAGTTGTCGACGTTTGTATTCAGGAACATTTTCAGCTACTAGAAAATCATATTGATATGCCTCAGCACTGAAATTGTTACATAAATTTTTTTTAATATATAGATCAGGTATAAAACATGAAATTAAATAAATACTATAATGAAATTTTTTAATTTTGGAATAAGTAAATCTTGTGAAATGATTATCGAAAAAATTATATTTTAGAAAACAACTCAGCCGAGGTGTATTAAGACAAATCAACCGAGGTGTATTAAAACAACTTAACCGAGGTGTACTAAAAGAAAACAACTCAACCGAGGTGTATTAACAGGTGAAATATATTGAAATATCGTATAATTTCTGCCATTTTTTGAAATAATTCGTGTTCTATGCTTCTTCCAAAAAGCAAATTCCTAAAATAACTTCCAACTTTCCATGAATTTTATATTCTTTTATCTAAATAATCAGAAAAAATCACTTCACTATAAAAAAAGATAATTTCATATTTTTTCTCAAAAGAAATATTTTCAAAACATTTAATATATTACTGTAATTTATCTCATTTAAATGCTTAATACCATAATTATTTACTTGTTCATCAGGTTCGATCTATATAACTATTTCTGTTATGCTTTACTACATTAGCATTCAAAAATGGATACTTGAAATCTATTAAATTATGGAAAAGTTTTTAAACTGATAGTTATATAAAGTAAATAATTACTTTATATAACTATCAGTTTAAACTGGCAAATACCGTCTCCATAGAAGCAATAACACTATTCAGGAATTCGTCATCTTCAGTTACAGTATGATATTCATAAACCATTGGGATGAAAAATGGTGGTTGTGTTCGTTGTAGCATATAATTTCTTCCACCGCTAGGAATATGGCCATAATTTTCGATAAGATATTTAAAATTTTGAAGAGTGTGCTTGGCAGTATCATGCATACCTGAAATTAATTACTTAAAAAGTAGCCAAACCAAAAATTTTTTGATATAATACTAAAATATCAGTACCTCTTAATACTTTTTATAGCATTTCACATGTTTATAATTCTTATTATTACTTTTTTGTGTATAATTTAATAATTATTGTTGTCATTACAGTAATAATATCATTACTACTCATAATACAAATAATAATAAATATTATATTTAACATATTAACTCATTTTTAATTTAAAATATTATGAAGCAATGTTATAGACTTTTTGCACAAACTTTTTAACTTTTAAATAAATAAAAAATACGACAAGTAAAATACGAAAATTGCAGTGGGATATAATTTTTTTGTAATTTTTTTTGATAATTTTTTAAATATAAATTAAGTTTCAGAATTTTCTGCTAAAATTGAATAATATATGAGAGTTATTTTAAATTTCTTATTAAATTATTCATAAGAAAATATAGAATAAATATACCTGAAGCAAGTAAGCCTTTTATAACCCAATAATTATCCCAGTAATGGAATTCTCGAAATCGACCACCTGCTATCATAAATTCATGTGGCAAATATAAAATTGAATGACGTTTAGAGTCATTTCTTACCTGAATATTAAAAAAAAAGCTTTATTAAGCTCTTACGTGACGTTAATTTAACAGAACATTATTTGCGTGACTTTTTTTGCGCTTCAATAAACAGAATACAAATTTATTATCAATCAGTACTTTGTTTAAATTTTACTGTATAACGTATCATCAGATTATTTTATAATTTAAACTGTACTGATAAAGCATTTATACTAATGAATGATAGCTCCAAAATGTTGTCATTTTTTAGTGTTAATCAGTGTTCAACTGATATGATGATTTGTTCTTATAAATTTAAGCATTAATGAATATTACCTCAGGTTTGACAATATGGCACAGTTTCTTCCACAATCCATGAATTTCTATAGCAAACTGGCGTAATTCGGCATCTTCGATGGCTATCAGATATTCTGGTTCGTCATCCCAGTCTTGCATTGTACCTTCGGGACATCTATAAATTTATTCACTCGCAAAAGCTTTCAATAATTTATGCATGTAAAACAATATGCGATTATTTTTATAGTAATTTTATCAGTGAATCTTACTAGCGATTTAAATTATTCATAATTATTATGTTATAATTATCATATTAATTCTCAAAACATTTTCAAATTTTAAAATTGAAAAATATATACTTGAAAACTCACAAAATTGACTCATAACTTAAATTATGATGTAAGAAAGTGTTAACTCTTCAATATCGCTTCCTTCAGCATCAAAATGTTCATCTATAAATTCTCTTAGTGCTCCTCCATCGCTGATAGTAATTTGTTCTGGGAATTTCTTGTGGAACTCTTTGAGGACTACTTCAGGATCATTCTTAAGTGGTCTATCAAGAAATGTTTTGGGATCTTTGAAAATACCAATAAACGACACAGCATGTAGTAGATCACCATGGCAATAAATTTCATGATTAAGGGAATTTGTCTCATCACAAGAAAACACCGGTGGTGCAACCGCAGTACTCAATATCGTATCTTGGCTAGGTAAAATATTTCGTCGTTTACCACCATTACTTTCTTCTGTGTCATTTAAAGTTACTTGAAATGTATCTCGAACTTTTTTTTTTTCTTTAGCATTTCCTGTCTTATCTACAAGTCCATAACATTTTGCTGGTATAAAGTAATGCAGCAAAAAATGATCGCAATCATAATTTAGTACAAAAATTATTGTAAAAAATAGTTGTAGCATTTTCCATATCATTTTCGTTTCTTCTTTGTAACTTTCAACTCTGTAATTAAATCATTTTTTTAAAACAAAAAAAAACTTTATTTTATATAAATTAAATAATATACCGTAAAATTTCAGCATTTTTTAAATTAATTTTAAAATAAAAACACCGAAATGACAACTTTTGATTTTTTTTCTACAGTAACTAAATAAAATGTAAACGTAATATTATACAAAAAATTGGTGCTATGAGTTTTAAATTACTGTTTAAAAAGGTGTGTAAGCATAGAAAGTAATAACTTTAACAACCGCTTTTCCTACTATGATAAATAAGTTTAAATTTTTTATAGCTAAATTTAAAAAGGTAGTAGAAAATACAAGCACCAACCGATATCTATGCCATACCAAACTATCACTGAATTATTTACTGACAATTTATTTAAAGGACTTTATTATCAGTATTCAAATTTCTTACCACTGAATACTTTGAATTTGCATATAATGATAATTCAAGTAACGATCGCTTACAAAAGTATTTGTCTTCTAGACAAAACATTAATTCATCTTATTAAGCATTCACTGTATATGTATTAATTATCCTTAATAGAACAGTAAATCGTACTGTATTATCTGAATCAGACGCATGTAGCTGGAATACTTAACAATAAAAATATCTGATCATTTCGCATTTCATTTTATTAAAGTTTTATTTAATAAAGAATTGATTATGTTTTTTAAAAAGTTTCAAAATTTTCAGCTTTAATAATTTTGTAAATTGAACTTTAACAATTTTGTAGATATAAATATTCAGGAAAAATTTGTTTACAAAAAAAATGGTATTAACAGTAATCAAGTCGTAACTGTAGCATC